TCATCCAAGGGTCTTTTTTCTTTTATTATATTGCCGATATCTTCCTCGTACCCGTTGCGTCTTACGTATGTTTTATGCCGTGTTATATTACCTTCTTGTAACAGAACCGCTGTAATCGACTGATTTTTTTTGCTTGCGACCGCAACAATACAAAGATCCTTTAAAATAACTCCGATTTAAGCGTGTGTGTTGGTATAGTTTTGAAATCAAAATAATTGTTAGGTCAATGTACCAAATTTTTAGGTACGAACATACTAAATACATTTATATTTTAATATTTATTATGTTAACAACATTTGTACTTACTGTAAAACCTATATTTACACTTATTATTCGATTGCAAAAAAAAAAAAAAATTAAAATATTTATTATTATTTTTTTTTATCTCTTATTAATTTTTAAATTAGCAAAATAATTTGTGATATTTGGTTGTTTCCGATTATTCAGTGCGGCACATATTCTCGAAATTATATTATATAACATGATTATAATTATATTTTTTTATTTTTCGTTGTGCAATGTGTTTGATTTTTTATTGAAGCGATAATGTTTTGGTTTCCGGTTAGTGGAGGTTTCGTTTTAAAGAGGTCATTGTAAAATGTACCTAATCGTATTTGAAACAGGACTGTGATTTTTTCCGTTATAAAAAGGTTTTTATCTTACAGGAACGTTAACAGAGGGTTTTACTGTACTATTTTGAATGTAGCCATTGATTTTATTACAGACAGATACACTATCCTAGAAACGACCAAAACTATTAAGACAATTGTTGTTTCTATCGTTGAAATCGGTATCGAATACAATGATTACAGCGACGTTTAAGGACTGCGTCCACATAGGCGCTGCTAATATAAACAATTACGGTTGGTAAACATACGTAATAAAATCATTGATACATACATGTAGTTACTATGTAATATATACATTATTAATTAAATGGGGTGAACGTACGCGTCTTGATAATATAATACAATAACTTTTTAAATTAGGTATATATGTGGTACAAATTAGCGGTATCAAAGTCCGATGGAAGAAAAAAAATTATAGAAAAAGATAGTCATTTTTGAATATTTTTTGTAATAGAGCGTCGTGTGTATATTGATGATATTCGGCAGGAACTTTTTACCCAGTGAAATGTCACGGTAATCGTGTGATTTTTGGCGAATGACGATACTAAGATACTGCTTGTAGATACGTGTATGATGAACTATCGATACAATCTATTGGTTTATATTACAAACGTCTAAATGGCTCTTGTAATTGAACAGAGTTTCGAAAGAAATACGTATATCGAACAATTTAATGAAACAGATTTTATATGACGAACTTAATTTCTAAATATAGAGCAGAATTTAGAAAAATAAACCCCTTCAATGGTGTATTCAACTGGCGATGGAATTAAATATTGTTATTATATTTCTTAATAATAATAAAAAAAAAAATGTTAAATGAAAAAATGAATGTAGATTATCTAAAAAAAAAATTTAATAATTTGTACTCCAATTAAGATGGTTACATTTATACTATAGTATTATAATATTGAACATTTTTAATAATTGTATGATAAGTAAATAATTGTTAAATGAAATATAATAATTTTAATAATTTTATTATATATATATATACGAATATTGTGTATAAATTATATAACTATTATCTTTACAATAGATACAGTTTTCGAAAACCAATAATTTAAAATCGATATTATTTTTATGTAGTAGTATTATTAGATATTATTAGATATTATTTTTATTATTTTTAAGTATTTAAATATTTATTTATTTATTTATTTAAATTTTATACTGACCAAGCCCAATTACATGAATATTAATAATAATAATTTTTATTCAGTGGTATTAATTAGTAGCATAATTTCGGATAATTCTAGAGTAGGGCAATCGGTATGCTCTAATTAAATTTCCAACTAGATGGCTCATTTTACGAAAGTGTCGATTAACATGGTGGGAGGGGAGTCAAACTGGTCCAAAATATAATTTGTATTTTTTACATAAGTATCCGTATGGTACACGTCTTATTTTTCTGATTCACAACAAATCAATGGCTTTATAAAATACGTACCTATTTATATTTTGATGATGTGACGACTTTAGAATAGATAAATTCTAGACTGTGGAAAATGCTTAAATACAAGATTAATATTGTACATAATGAACCTAATATATAATATTCAATTTCAATGAGAATAAATTCAAATTCACTCCGTATAATAATCCGTTGTAATTCGTATCGAGCGCGATTGCAAAATTCGTAAACCGCTTTCGATAATTTTATAATGCTATCAAAACAGTTTAATATTGCGATTTTACGATGGGTGCGTGGTACGTTAATACTTAGCACAGTTCATAGATCCAATGAGGTAAACTATATAAAGCTATGGAAATACTACTGTGATTATCATACATCGAGAGTATAAGACGATTTCTATTCTTCAATTGTGTAGAGGATACAATTTTAAGGATTTCGAGGATTCGATTATGGCCACCAACGAATTTACCTCCTCTATCTTACAAATCAATAATCTCAAAATAAGAAATAATGGAATTATAACGTTTTCGAATTAAGCATTATGTTTCGATTAAAATGCATTTGTTAAACATTTATTTCGTTTACGATCCAAAACGTTGAACTTTTATTATTGGTAAACGTGATAAATATGTAAGCTATAGGTTGGCAAGGTTGTAAAATTATTTAAATCAAATGATATTATAATAAATGAGTTTTTGTATTTATACATACTTAGTGCGCGCAGAAAATGGGCTCGAATATGATAATGCCTGCATGGAAAAGAAGATCCTGCGCCGATCACAAAAAAAAAGGAAAGAAAAAGCAATTTCGTCCGAGGTTAATTATGCGATGTCTAGCTTACGATCCGAAATATTAATGCTCAATTTACCATGAGCTCGGTGATATAAATTAGTATTTTCAGATATTAAAACAATCCGGTTTACCGTAGAGGTGACCTCGCCGCCGTACACATCGCGGCTGTACGCATTATAACATAATGCAGTGCGCAGCGACGATTCAAGGGTATATTATAATAATATGTATTTAGAAAAAAAAATAATAATAATTATGATAGTAAATAAATAATCTACTATAATCTAAATATTGGTTATATCTGCGTCGATATTACATGGTATCGGACCATGTGCATACATGTACGGGACACATCTCCTGACCTCTGTAATGTGTGCACGCATTAATCGCAATAAGACGTGTAATACAGTTTTATTAATATTTTATAAAACGCACGGTACAACATTTATTGTTATCGTTTCGTTTTTTTTTCCCGTTTGTTTTTATAAAAAAATTAATTAATATGCACAATTTTTTCCTACGTATTTTTGCACGTGATAAATAATAATGATCACGAATGCCTATATTTTACACAATTTTTCTTTTCTTTTTATGTCACGGGTAGAGAAACCTATTTAATGAATCCAACGCTATTACACTGATGTAGTGATATTTTACTATGAATGTATTGTATTTATCGTAGCAAGATTTTACGCCAAATGTGCGTTGTCGTTTCGAGCAGTTCGTATCACAGGATTACCAAGGATATTCTTATTTACGTGAACTAGGGAACCAAAGGATTTAGATTTGTAAATCATTTCGAGTGGAATCTAGAGTGATTATTATCGTACCGTTTTGATTTTTAAATCGTTGAATGAAGTGTGTCTTTAAATCGCTACGTATTATATAATATAATCATTACCATCCTATGTATAGCAAGAGAACGAGAAAAATCATGTCCGGATCATGTGCAAATATTGCAGTTTGGAGCGCGCGCGAGTTCAAAACGAGTTTGAAACAAAATCATGATCCCTGTCTGTTGCTATCGCAGTGTTTTAGATTGTTATTATTATTGCTGCCAACAATTTTTTAATCGATATTTTTCGTCGATCGGACAAATTCATAATTAATCAATAATGGGTCGATAAAAAATAATATTATCGTAAATATCCGTAGGACATCATGTACTGTAGTGTTTTAGGAGTGCTTGCTTTTATAATTGTTAATAATGTTACTCATCTGCGAAGACGAACGTAGTTAATTAGATGATAGCGTTGATAGAACATCGTTTATTATAACATATAGTCGAAAACGTTGTGCGCGTATACTGTACGCGGAGTGTACCTCCCACCCGGAAGTTGTGAAGTGGATCGATTTACATTAATAGTTTACACGCGTATAAACGTAATAATTGAATTGATGAGAAATAAATTATAATAACTATAATCGAGTTTAGAACTATATTATATCTATATACTCGTAGCTTAGAATTGGAGTCTTCTGGTAATCGAACCATACAATTCTTACGAGTTTTATTGGAATGACCTCTTGTGTCTCGTAGTTATTGTATTATTTGAATTACACATTTTCCAATCATAAAAATAAACCGTAGAAAAACTCTCAATTTACAACCAAACCGCAAACGCGTGGACGATGTTCGAACAGGCACTACCGATATGATTATATTAGTTATTTTCAGTACTTCAAAATCCTTTTTTATCTACATAAAGTATACATCGTAATAAATGTAAATTAAAACCACGGTGTACAGCGCAACGGTTGGTGCACAGTGCTCTCCGATCGTTATTCGAATTGATAGAAGGGAAGGAATACATGGGGATACCATAATTTTATAATAACTTTTATGAGCATGCAGAAAAATCTTTTTCGGCTCCTATGTATAAAAATTAACAGACTACTCGTATACCAATAAATGTCCATAACGAATTATATACGTATACTTTATCGAGTTATTGGTAACAAAATTATTTGTTAACTATAAATGTGTTACGTCGATTTGATGAAATCATAAACTTCACGAATTCAACGTAATACTAGCGAGGTGTACGTTCGTTCTATATCGTATTGAGTAAAAAATATTTCAATCAGTTTTTCGGAAAAGCGATATTTAAACGATTGCGGAAATACTTATGTTTTATATTTGATTCATTTTTCAATTTCAGGTCTGGAAACAATGGTTGGACCTTTAAACTTTGCCGGAAGAAGACGAGACGAGGCGTGAAAAAAATTTCATAATGCGTGCACCTTCAAACCTATTCGTGTGGACTTATAAGTTATAAACGTATAAATATATGTACATAGCATATACTATTATAATTTTATTAAATGTGTGTTATAAATTATATTATAATTATGTAAAACAAAAACCGTTGATAAAATAACCTTTTATCACATATGATTACATGCGCGTTTAGAAAATAGTTGATACTTAATATAAAGTTAAGTGGCTAAATCATGTACTCACACCCTATTACTGTGTATTATATATATGCATTTTATCATTTTTATTAGAATAAACGTTGTCCGGAGTATGATATTTTGTGTATTATTCGACCATGTAGATCATTTTGTCAGTTTTTGTTAAGTCTAAAAAAAAAACCCTATTTAAGAAATAACAATAAATTATATATTATTTTGTTGTTTCATTATATGTTTATGAATACAATAAAAACGAAAAATATAAATGTATTGGAAAAATATGAATGTTATATTTTAATTGTAATTTGAACGTAAATGCACATAAATATTCTTCGAATGAACTAGTCTATTTATGTGTGTGTGTACAGTATTGTATAGACTTCGGAAGAATAGTTAACAAAATAATTATTATTCGACTGCGTCGGTCGCACAATATGCAACAACGTCGATATTAACCTTTTCGGTGATACGTTAAATGTAAACGCGTAAAATCCGAACAGTTGATGATTTATGAAATAACAAAATAAATATTATATTTACTGGTACGTTTAACGGTTTGCATTGCGTTGTTATCCAGAGGGGAGGGGGGGGGCGGAAAACGCAACAAAAACGCGAAAAATGTTGACATTATTGTTGTAATAATGTATTTGAATACAAATCGCGTACAACACTTCTTGCCTTAATGATTTATATATATATATACAAAGGTGGTTAAGTTAATAAAAATAATTGACTCGAGTTAAGTTAAGGTAAGAGAACACAAGATCGATAAGTTAAAAGTTAATAAGGAAAAAATATTAACTTAACTCAGTTTAAAAGAAATGTATCTACTTTTTTAAATATTATGTAGATCACATAAAAAGTGACTGCATTCTTTAGAAAGATCTAATTTCCTAAATTGTAATAGACAATTTTATTGAATTTTTATCATAATATTCAGCAGTGGCGCCGATGTGTTTGAAAAATACTATGACATTGTACGTCAAGTATATATTGCTCACTACCGTATTTATTTACCTTTATAGTTACAATTCTATAGTTACATTCTGTATCCACGGCCAGAACCCAACACCCAAAGGTGGGCCTCCAACCTACAAAATCTAATACGACATCTGATGTACAGTAAATGCGATCATTTTACTTTACATGATTATTTAATTTTTGAATTATACACATTTAAAATTAACAATTTAAAAATGGTTTTATTAAAAAAATTTGAAATATTTATTATATTTTAGTAACAAGGACATTTAAAATTAAAATTAAAATTTTTATATTAATATTTACGTATAAGCGAAAAAATTCAAAATTTTTTATCTTGATCATTTTTAAATCAACAGTGGAATGCTTAGTTATTTCAACTGCCAATTATTTTATTTTTTATTTGTATTTGTTTTGATATGAATATAGTATTATTTTTTATATAGCAATAGAATATTATGGTTGCATCAAAGTTTTCAACATCAGAGCATTTTACTTTGCCCTCTTCGATGTGTACTATGTAATTTTCTCGTAAGACAATCGAAATTATATTGTCTATGTGCAATGGTGTCATTTGGTGGGGAGAGAAGAATAACTCATGTATTTGCCACACTCTAGAGGTTAGCTAATTCAAAGATGGCACATCATCAAAATACAAATACAACTTTTGTAAAGCCATTGGCATGCTGTAAATCAAAATAATGAGACGTGCACTATAAGGGCAATTATGTACAAAGTACAAATCATTATATTTTTGGACTTATTTGATGACCCCTTCCCATCATGTGAATCGGTATTTTAATGAAATGAACTTTGCTCTACTCTAGAAAAACTAAAATGACGCCACTGCCTGAACAGTATTTAATTTTAAAATAACATATTTATTATTTGCTGATGCGATAAAAAAAAAAAAAAAAAAAATGAAGTTTTTTTTGACAAGAAATTTACTTTAATATGTATAAAAAATTAACACAAATTTTCGAAACATAAAATGTAAACTCTATCGATGATTTTATAAAAACTTATATAGTAATTTATTTTTATTTTCAATAACATATTTATTTCTAGAGTCTTTATATGGATTAGAAAAAGTTGTAGACAGTTGTTTAAAGTTTTGTTCGGATGTTTTTTCCCCAAGCGTTTATACTGTGCAATATTGACGGATTCCAGAGAGTTCGAAGAAGAAGGCGGTTTCGACGTATTTTCTTCTTTTGCTCTACTGATGTCGAGTTTGAATTTCCTCTCTTCCGTGTCTGTTTTTCAATTTTTCATTTCTTGCGGCAAACTTTATAAATGTTTTTACTTATCTCTCATTCGTTCTGCACGGGCTGCATTAGCGTATAATTTATATTATCATGGGTCAACTGGCTCGCGCGCACGCAATTAAAAACGTTTATTGTACACATCAAGAAGCACTCCATGCTCGCCGGGCTGTATAATTCGCAATTACGTATCCGACGCCGACACAGTCTCCGTGGAAAAACCGAGATATTCGACTTCGGTCGGGTTATAATACTACCGCGGTCACTCGCCTCGGTTTAGCAATTTTGATGAGTCACAGTCTCGCTGTTACCGCGGCGTTAGAACGTAAGTTTTGGACCGCGTACGGTTTTCGCTATGCATTTTGATAACTTTTCGTAGCGATTGTTATTCATTTTTTACAAAGACATTATACGCAATAATAATATAATAATAATTGCGGGTGTTTTTGTGAATAATCGTGTACAGGTTCCTGAAATGCGTAAACACGTAAAAACCCATCATCCGACAAGCAGGGTGCGAATAATCCTGCGGTAATGAAACCCCTTTGAAAATGCGTTCATAGATTAGTTTGCAATAATACTTTTTTACAGTTCAGACTTGAAGATTGCACGTGTACCTATGCTTGTTTTGTTTTCAAATTAATATTAAGTAAACCATACACAACCGAATTACTTTTGAACATGTTGATTGGTTTAAAAGTGAAAGTGAAATCCTATAGTGATCGATAATAGCACGTAATGACTATCAAACTATGGTTGTACAGTACGCTAATAATGTTTGATATCGAAAACGACGATTATTTAATAAATTAGACGTCTACAGTTTCTCCTTACGTTTAAAACGTTACATTCGACGTTATTCTATTACTGGAGGGCGTTCAATATCCAAATATTCACGTTATCGTCAACACAACTGGGATCGTCCGCTATCTACTCAAGTATCGTTTTTTCGATTAACAGGTGGCCTCCATGATGGGGCTTCAGGTCCTGCACGATTTAGTTTTCGGACGTGTTAGAAAAAGCATAATATCAGCGTTCGGTTTCGGGAAAGTATATGACACGTGCGAATGGACACCATCTTACGGTCATTAATTATTACAAGACATGGTTAATTTTCAATCTGGGCTCTTATTATAGCATATACAATGCGGTAGGTTCAACAAAACAATCATGTAAATGTATTTTTTGTTTAATTTATAATATTAGAATATAAGTATATAATTGTCCAAGTGTATACTTATATTAGTTATATTATATAATTATTTTAATTATTACCATTCTCCTAGAAGATACTACCATTATAAATATATACACGAAATCAGCCCTTTTAAGACTATTGCGAGTCGAGTATATAATAAAAACTAAAAAAAAAAAAAATGGTAATACCTCTTTGTCGTCGAGTTTAGTGGGAGAAAAAATAAAATGAATGTTAATACATTAATGGTTAAATTAGGTATCGTATGTTTTTGTTCGTGTGTTTAAACAATAAAAATATTTTCCGGTATAAACACGATATTTTCGGTCTCCTCTAACAACATTTGTGTACAGGGTGTCCCACGAGGGTTTATTGTTTGCGAGATTGCTTTTTAATTTGACGAAAAATGTTATTATTTTCAGTATAACTTGCAATCAGACCAATATTCTATGTATTATTTCTTCGGGGGTTTTAATCTGAAATGTATTTTTTATAAATTAATAAAAATTAAAAAGAAAAATCATGGTGTTTATAAAACTAAGTTGTTCAATATATTAGGTTTTAATTTTATAAGCCCGTACATATAATGCAATGAGTTTTCTATGAAATTGTACAAAAATAACAAAACAAGTTTCTTTATATATACAGTAGTTAAAACAAAAATCAATGAACGTAATTCTAGAATAGTACTTGAGTTTTTAGAAAATTATTTGATGTCCAGTAAATATTGCAATTAATGTGTCCCTTGAGAGATACCCGGAATATAATAATATTCGTTTACGTTACGGTTTTTTTTTTGTATATACGTACGAGTAGAACATCAAGCGGTGAAACCTACGTGGATCAACGCGAACACTCGACATCATTGCAATATCATGCACGAAATATTATAAAATTATTAAAAAACACAATACCCGTCGACATATAATACATGTTATTGAAAACAATCGATATGTTTTTGAAATCGTTGTTCGATCACGAATATAACGGTTTCGCGAATTCAATTTTTAGACATGACCGGTGGCGCAAGTGCAACGCAGTACACGGTATTACTGACCGGTGCCCATGTAGTTGTGGTATGACGATTTAAATATAGTTTTTATCCATATAAATAATCTTTGAAACGAAATTTTCCGACTGCAAAATAACTATAACATTGATAATAATAATTATTCGAACAATATCGTTTTTCATAAATAAAATACCGTTTAAATTATATTTTGAAAGTTAATATTATTTATTTTTTATATGTATGAAAAATATTTAGCAGATATACTCTTACTAAATAGTAATTGGACGTTTCCAACGGATCTTTACCGATGTAATAATATTATGCGTAAAATAATGGAACGTTTTAAACACTATGAAAAAGTTAGAAATAAAAAAAACTAACAAAAAAAATGTTCAGTACAATAAGTTCAGTATATCTGACGAACATCGATTTAATCTATATGAACACAACAGTTGAATATGTGCAGTCATGTGGTCGCAATGCATATTATGTAAATATTGGCATTCTAAATATAATTTGATTCCGAAGTACCAAGATAACGTATTATTGGAATGTTCGATTGCAAATAACTACGCGCGTCTATAGATGCGTGCAATACGTCCAATTACAGTTTCTGCAGACAAAAGGACACATTATATGAACTGTAATATTTCGTTAAAAATATCCGG